GGCACATCTACACGTTCACTAATGCACCTTAGATACTGCACATATAGTTTACTCTTTCCTTAATAAAGGACTAACTAAATGTACAGTACCTAAAGTTACTGTGCAGTAGCGCTGGTGAACAGTTATTTAGTGATGCTTACTGTGCATTAGCCTAATAATACCATGCAGTAGGCTGTTAGCACGTTTTTTCCTGTGACACACTACTGTGAAGTGTTATTAGGCCAATGCACAGTGTCTCGTGTAGATGCGTCCAGTGAGAAGCTTTCCATCACAGCAGCTTCCTTGCTGGCAAGTCAGCTCCCGTCCCTCCCAAGGGATGCCAGGTCTGAAGCTCCAGGGGCCATGTGTCCAGTGATTGTCCTGACAGTCCCCAGTGCTTTCCCCAAGGTCCCAGTTACCTGGTGTCCCTGACTCAGCAGTTGGTGTGGGCAGAGGCAGGAGCAGCAGCAGAAACATCTTGCAAGAGGCTGCAAGATCCCTGCTTGTTGCTTTCTTTATTCCCCTAGACACAGCTGCTCCAACCCCTTCCCGTGTCCCTTGATACCAACCCGGGCTGCAACGTGAACTGGAGCAGGGATTTTCTTTGGCTGGTTTAGCTATCCCAGAGCTGGAAATAGACCCCTGGCACCCTGGCCCTCCTCACTCTTCATAGTAGCTAGCATGACCCCCCCTTCTCTGTGGGCACCCTGCCCCCCCGCCTAGGGGTGGGTCTTTTGTCATCCATCCAACTTGAGGAGGGTTTTCTCAGCCAGAGCAGGATTTGCCGAGTGTCACGAATGCCTTGTGAGGGGCCCCGAGGTGTAAATCAATCCCAGGGAAGGAGACCTCCTCCCCCATATCCCACTGCACCCCCCCCAATTCAACCCTGGCTGGAGTATTTGCAGAGGGGCCAAGGCAGGGGGATCAGTTTGGAGGCTTCAGGACACGCTCACCTGCCTGGGGTAGTTTCACCCTCTTCTCCAGCCCCGGTGATGGCTAATCTGCTCTAAATCCATGGACCTGCATCCTTGAGCTCTCGGAGTCAGGAAAGAGCCTTTGCTGCTAACGGTACAGTATTAGAAACAGCTTCCCATCAGGATTTGCTGCTAGTAGCACAAACGAATGTTGAAGGCACGTCATTTTCTTGGCATAAGAATCCAAAACAGACCACAGAGTGTCCCTGGCAGACTGTGCTGCTAGTGAGGGTTT